TACACTTTCTCAGATGCTGCTGCCAAATAGTATTCACAGTATTTCATACATGGACAGATAATTGACAAAAGGAAAATCATATGTGTATTTTGTTTTTTCGGGGGGGGGGGGCGGGGGGGATATCATGGGTACAGTATCTGTTCCGGTCTTTTTTTTTTTTTTTTTTTTTTTTTTTTTTTTTTTTTTTTTTTTTTTTTTATGGCTTTTTCAAAAAATCCCCCCGTAAGGCAATAAAATGGGTTGAAAACCTTTCCCCAAAACCACGTTCTTTTTTTTTTTTTTTTTTTTTTTTTTTGCCTAAAATTGCTCTCTTATTACTGGGGCCCAGTGCCCAAGGCAAAAGTGACATGAAAAATACAAGGGAAGGGAAGGGTAGTAAATTCAGCGGCCGAAGGCCTCCGACTCTGCTTCCTCAGCCGAAGCATCTCCCCTGTAGAAAGATTAAAAAAAAAAAACAGAAACTGGCAGAAACTATCCCCAAAATTTCCAGGGAAAAACCTGAGCTATAAAAACACGTAGAAAAATTATACCGAAGGAACACCGACCCTAGGCAACTCCTCAGGGCACACACTCACACTAGGCCCTCAAAATCACAAAATCCCCAAATGAGTGGGCCAATCTGGTCCTTCCTTTACAAGGACTTGATCTGGCCGCTCATTTTCTGATTTTGCGAGTTTGAGGGCCTATTGTGAGTCTGCTCTAACTGTAGCAATCCCTAAAATAACAAACACATCAACAAAGAATCCCACCAGGAATATTAAACCACCAGTACTTGGCCCAGCTATCGGCCGCGGAAAAAAATGGAGTAGAAATGTTTCTAGTTTGATGAATTTGGGCGCTCCTGCAGTGGCCCATACGTTTCCTAAAATTGCGTAGCGTTAACGCTAAGCGACTTAGGAAGTACTGGTGGTTTAACCAGCGGGACTACCCAGTTAGCAAATCGAAAACTTTCCAAAGAAATCCTTGTGGTTTTTTTTTTCCACATACTTGCTGAAATCCGAGCTAGGAACCCTCACCCTAAAGAGCTATGGACACGGACTTTCCAGAAATTCCGAAGCTGTTTAAACAGACTACAATAGGTATGGATCCATGATAGTGTTCTGTACATCCGCGCCTAAGCCCTCCTCCAGATTCAAACTGGCGACCATGACCTAAGAGGCAAGTCTCTTAACCATAACAGCCAAGGTGTCCTCTGTGCAAGCATAGGCTCGAACCGGGGACCTTGGCGTCAAGAGCCAAGTCTCTCTTTTTTTTTTTTTTTTTTGGAAAAATACTTCATTTTACTTGGTTCGGAATATGGGGCCGGGGTCCCCACAATTCAACCCGGTAAAATACTGACAGCATCAGCCAGCTTAGCCTACACTTCCGAGGGAGGACAACTTAAATTAGGTACAGTTCCGGTCCCTCATGGACCTCTGACTTGAAGACTCCTCTCTGAGAAAAACAGCCCTCACAGCCAACAACACATGCAGCCCAGAGGGAAAGAATGATGCTCCGGAGCAAGAACTCTAATGGCCTCATGCCCAACAAATGCTTTGCCACAAAGATGTATTCAATGGGACGCTGGACCCGATTTCCAGCAGGTGCTGCTCCCCACCAATAGATGGAGCCTCCCCGAAGGTGCTAGATGTGTCTGCTCTTATCAGCATACCTAGCATCCNAAAAAAAAAAAAAAAAAAAAAAAACGACACAAACCAGAAAGAAAAAAGGGGAAAGTCTACCGCCTACGTTCACATGGCCCAGCGAGTATGGACTTCCCTTTTGATCTGGATGCAATTGCCGCCAGGAAGGAGGCGCATGGCGAGGAGACAGTATAACTTAGACCATTCGATCGAACTCTACATTGTCGAAAACATGGAATGCCCGGCGCAGGTCATGGCTTCAAGCACGCACCGTCTCCTTGCGCATGCACTAGGACTGCTTGTGTTAACCATTACTTTCTGCCCCGGACTCCTCCCTAACATGCTCTTTGCATGCGCGCCCTTCAGGCTATGCCAAACGGAGAAGGCACTGCTTGCACCTGCCCTACAATTTGCGCTCTACCTAAGTGCACTTGTTCGCTATGCGGTCATCATCGCGGTGGCGATATTCACCTTCTCTGCAGAAGGGTCAGGGCCTATCAGGCTATTTTGCCTGTTCGGACTGTGGGACCAGGCCGTGGCCTGACCCCACAGGACGTGTGCTCACTCAGTCCAGTCCAGTCCTGCCCGGTACCACTGTCAGTACCAGACCAGTCCAGTCCAGTCCAGTCAGTCCATTAGGGGTATACCCCAGCTGCAGTCTGTTTCAGCTCATTCTTCATTTTCCACACTTCGGAGTACGTGCGTGTTGAGTCTGCGTCGAACCTGCGCTGTCCCTTCCAGCTCCATCTCCATTTCCCTCTTGCTCACCCCTTCGTCTTCATCCTGACAGACCGCCATCCCGGCGGGTCCGCCACACTGGTATCAGAGCGGGAACCATCCCGCCGCCCCCCCCCACACAGACGGGCGCCTACATGGCGGCCGACTTTGCTCTTATACACATCTAGATGTGTATAAGAGACAGCCCCCCAAGTGACGGATGCCGAGGTGGCAAAAGGTGATAGCCGGATTTCGGGGTGCTTTTACAGCGCAGAGGTGCGGAGAAAGGTGCAGCGCCCTACGCCTGTCTCTTATACACATCTAGATGTGTATAAGAGACAGGTTTTGGAGCGCAGAGGTGCGGAGAAAGGTGCAGCGCCCTACGCAGTGCCACATGGCAAAAAAAAAAAGCGCCATCACAAAGCATGAGCGTCAAGGCCAAGGCCGCCGCACGGGCACGCGGCACGTGCCCATGCTGCCCCGCCCCACCCCTCTCCCTGATTAGATTATATCGATATCTAGGAGTGCACCTGCCAGAAGTTGAACTTGGGCAGCTGCTGGCCATGCGCATGTATAGCCAATGCCTCAACACACTGGCTAAACTCTATAATTGGTCTACTTGTGTGGCAAGTTGGTCACGGTTGGTGTTGAAGAAGCGCTACACCAGCTATTTACACCCCCTTCCCCCCGACGGGCGTGTCGTGGCTGTTGCTGCCCGCGCACATGGCCATCTGCAGTACCATGTGGGAGGATGGTAAAGCTATTAAAGACCCCCTGGCTAGGGCGCTGCATTACGATGAGACCTGGGTGGCTGATCAACATCTCAACACATGATGATTACTTTTTATAATCTTGCAGCGGCAGTTTAGCAGCAGTGAAGACCCCACTGGCTAGGGGGCTGCGTGTCAGTGCAATCAAGGTGGCTGGTCAAGATCTCAGTCAACCCTTGATTATTTTATTATTATTACTTTTGTTGCAGCAGCGGCTTGCTAGCCCCTTGAAGGCCAAAATCTAGTGAATCTTTGTGATCTTGTTCCTCTTGGTCAACCAAGAGCCGGGTATCACCTCTTTTCACTAACCTACTCTCCTACCCCACCCTCTCTCTCTCTCCCCTACACCATCTCACCACCTTTTCTAACTCTACCACTACTCTCTCCTCCCACCTCCCTCTTCACTCATCTTCCACCATCTTTTTCTCTCCTCCCCTCCCCCCCCACTCACTATGTTCTACTAATTTTTTCTACTCCTTTCCACCTTTTTCATCCCTTTCTTTCTCATTCTCTCACCCTCCTCTACCCCTCCCCTCCCCCAACTACAACCTCATCATCCCCCCCATCTCCCACTTCAACTTTTTTCTCTTTCTCTAAGTTTCTCACCTATTTCTCTCTTGGAAAAGGCGTGAAGCACCAGAAATTGTAGTGCGTTCGGTATGATGTGTGTTAAAATGAAAAGCATAAAACTCACAGACAAAAATGTTACAAATCTCGGGATTTCATCGTTCATCTTCTTCAACTGCCCATTCATCTTTCCAGAGGCAAACAGAACGACACAATGAAGTGGGTCAAATGCCCTATTTGTGTCAAGAAATGCTAGGATGCTGCCACCACAACAACGGATCACAATCTCTCATTTCACAGGTTCGTCATGCATAATCTATGTGGCACCCAAGGCCGCGGATCCTGTGGCTTAGGCCGCGGCCGAGGAGGCCGGCAGCGAGCCTGCGGCCGAAACCGCGCGGCCGAGTTTCCACTCGGTCGTGCCAAAACCAGGCAGGGGCGCACGCGCGGCTTGCGCACGTCGGCCTCTAACGCCCTATACAGAAAAAAATAACTTTTTTTCAATTTTGAAAATTTGGGAGGTGGTTTCTGGTAAGTAGCAAAAGTAATTAAAAAAAAAAAATCATTGATTGTTTGTTTTTTTATTGATTGATTGATTGATTGGTTGATTGATTGATTGATTGATTGATTGATTGATTGATTGATTGGTGGGGGAGGGGTCCTCCCTCCCCTCCCCGGCACACACACACATACACACACACACCTACACACACACACACACATACATACACACACACACACACACACACACACACATACACACACACTTACAGGGGGGGTTTCCAGGAAAGATGAGAGCAACTGGAAGAAGGGATTGACGCCGAAAGGCTCTACGGGATGATTGACTACAGAGAGCAACCCCCCTACCTGCCTTCCTGCCTAAGCACAACAAGTTAGGTACCACATCAAAAGGGTGTCCGTACCCTCGGTCGTTTCGTTTCCTCTCCTCTCGTTTCTTTATGTCCTTTCTTTTCGCTTTCCTCTTCCTTTTTCTTGTCCTTTTCTTCTCTTTTCCTTTTCCTTTTTCCTTTTTCTGTTTCTCTTCTTTTTTTCTTCTTCTTTTTTTCTTTCTTCCTTTTTTTTCCCCCTTTTTTCTTCTTCTTACCCTTTCCCCTTCCCCCTGTTGTTCCCCCTATTTTTATATTTTACTTTCTTTCCTTGTTTTTTGTTGCCCCGGAATACCCCCTCGATGCGAAAAATCTGTCGGCGGATTGAGAATCAATAAACCGCACCAGTGGAGGCCAAAACTTTTGTACAGGGTTATGTCGAACTAAGCGCACCACGCAAGGAGGGGAAGAAAACCCCTTTGAAGAAAAATAAAGAAAGAGTTTTGAACTCTTTATCGGAAGGAGAGGGCAGACGAACACACTACTCCTGTGTTTCCCCCCTCAAAACGCACTGTTAAGGGGGCATACCATGCGTAGAAGAGACACTCCGCCACTCGGTAGGAAGGGAAAGAACAGGACAATTGACGAGCGCACGATAGCGATTGCGTCTTTTCTGTTTTCTTTCTTCTTTTTTTTTTTTTTTTTTTTTTTTTTTT